TTTTACAAGAGTGGCATGTGGGTTTACCCCATTCTTGCAAAATTGAATTTGCCATTGCGAGTGATGTTCTTTACGGGATCTTTTTTATATGCTCCAATTACGTATTTAGTTGGTGAATATATGAACAATGCATACTGGGGCGTTCGTTCTTCAAATGTAAGTTAATGTCGACATTTTATAATTTGTTTCTATGACYATTATATAGTGTACAATAATATTAATACCTATTTATGCCATTAATGATTGTTGTATTTATGTATATTATATTTGTTGCAGAAATCAAATAGTTCGAAGAGAGAATAAAACCAATAAAATTATAAAATATTAATATAACATTGTACTCAATATTGTACCTATGTTTAATGTTGTACCTTAATGTCTAGATTTATATACCTTTGAATCKTATATATAATGCGTTATTTTTGATTTGTATAAAATATTAAAATATATAAGAATATGATCTTTTAGTGGGTATACCTATGTCCTATATAGGTTATGCATAATTTATTATAATATTCATATATTATATCTACGTGTAATATAATAATATATACCTACTATATGTATAATATAACGTGTTATGGAGGTATTARCTTTTGTCAATTATATAATCATTTATTTGATAATAGCAAACATTTTTGCAGCAGTCAGAGCTAAGTGCTTAATAATTAATACTTTTACTATAAAGGCACGTGTTGTAGGTATATCCGCCCGCGCGGTATAACATTAATTAATTGTTTTGAATTTACATTTGTATACCAAACGAGTGGCAGCTTGCAGCTATGAATGTCATTAATGATCATTTATTAATGTACCTAAATTGTAATGCAATATGTATTATATAGAAATATAGAATTGGTAAGTATATAGGCATATCGCATATAGATAGGTACCAATTAGCAATATTGTCATCATAGAATTCACGAATGACAATTGACAGTCACCCGTAATTGCCATAATTAGTTTTATGATATGCAAATTTCCAATTGTATACATACAATGATTTTTTCCTCGATTTTTTCTCAATCGTCTGTTGGTGTTAAAATGGATACCTTTTACCTACTGTCCTATTCAATATGGATTTTTACACGAACTTGGGAAGTATTATWAATACAATATAATATGTAGCCATTTAGGTAATGTTATTTTGGTAATACCTACTTAGTATTAATAATAATTGTCTATATAGAAGGTAGGTACTAGGTAGGTGCTTCTTACTTTCGTATATTGTATTTAACATTATGATGTTATCGACTCTATCGACTTTCGAGAGTTGAGACCATAATATATATTTAATATTTACATAATAGTTTAACCTTCGATAAGTCAGTAGCCAGTAGGTTACGATGATTTACAATTACTTTCAACGTAAAATTCATAATAAAAATGGTTTAATGTTTATTTGTATAATTATTTTGTTATTCAATTTTATTTATGCGCCGGACGTATGTCTGGCAATTTGTAATTTGTATTCTCGCCACTACGAGTGCTAGCAACAACGATAGAGGTAGAATAGCACAGAACAACACCGAGGCCGACGGACAGGACACAGGACCACTCGTTGGCAGTGTTGGCACTAAWTTGCACAAGTCTCAAGTGTGCCACTGTCACAATTCTCAGTMCCAGTCCGGCACTCGGCAGTCACTTTAGTAGTAATTCTGCATGACGAACCGACGAGGTTACCGGCTGTACCGTATCGGCGCATCAACAATAACAACAACAATATCTCCACAGTAAAGTTCACGACCGCTACAACTAATAATAATTACCGTCTTATCTAGTATTCTAGTTATCTAMCTCGTCGTTGTCGCGTCACATATTGACATATTATCAAAGAACAATATTATGGATTAACGTTACAATAGCTGACGAATATTAATAATTTTATACTTGTGAATAGTGATTAATTAATAGCTCTTAAAAATTAATTGAATGAAGCCGGTTCTAAATTGATCATTGATATCATTCTCCAATATCGTGCGGTACCCCAATTTTCGATCAGCTTTGAATTATTTATATTATCGGGTTCTAGTATACATGATGGTTTTCAAATTTGAACACAACAATAGGTATTCGTGTTTTGTTAATCGGAATAAGATAGTGGCCTACTACTTAGACTTAACTAAAATTTAAATTAATGCAAAACACCGATGGCATTATTATTATTATGCATTTATGCCGATCAATACGGGCTAAAAGRATTCCAGATGAACCATTTTATACGCGTATTATAATTTCGTGATGACGACACCATTACCAGTCCCGTGACATTCATGTGAGTTTTTAAATATTCRTAAACAAATTACCCATTTTTTTTCCTTTCTATATTGCCCGACGCTCGCTGTCATAACGTTGAGCRTTGCGCAAATTTCACAAGGTTGGTCCACGTCGTCCACCGAATAATATTATGACGTGTGAATTATATTTTTATCCCAACAGTTAGGCACTGATTTTATATTTATCATCATTATTGTAATTGTTGATGTTGTCTGATCTCAGGATGTCAAACAGTAATAATGCATCACCCAGCCGTATTCCAAAGCCGAATTGGTTGCGGCACTCAAATAAGACACCAAAGATCCAAAGACATCAAAGTCTAGTGAGTGAAAAAGTATTTTTCACATTTATATAAACTATAA